GATTTAAATTGAGGTGATCCAAAAGCTTCTGTAGAAAATATTAGGAGCTGTGAGTTCTGCAGTTGAAAGCTTGAGGAGAAGCACCATGTCATCCACATTCACACAATTTTGTCTACTGCAGTCTGACAATACTTTCATTGATATGGGCTGCTAAATCTTTCCCTAAACACTTCTATCTCTTACACCGTCTACTAGTGTTTCTTCCACTGTTGATTGACCTTGGTTGCATGGTACTGCCCAGTAATTTAAATGAGAATTTAAATGAGACTGTTAGCTATCCTTCAAACTACATAGCTCTAAAGTTGCATACCATCATGAGCTTTGTATTTGGTTTGTAGTATTTTATTAATTATTTTTTCGTTAATAACTTAGCATATTGAGTTAAGTTACAATTTATGTAGCATTCTTGATGTCAGTTGCAATCCCAGTTTTCCAAGCTTTTACAGAAGTTGGGTATGAGAGATAGAGATCTTCGTATTGTTGTTTAACATAGAATTAGTATTATCTAGTATTAAGTCAATTTAAATCCAACTTACAGTATATGACTTAGTTTTTGTTTGGAAAATCTCATAACCAAGATTTCATTGACTATCATGTACATGGGGACTCGGTCATGTGGCCTTGTATAATATTAGGTCCTGTATAATGTCAAATAATTATAGCTAGTCAAACAGAATTTTTGGAGTTAGTATAGGGTAATGGCATGGTTAGTCCAAAACATTGAACTTTATGGTACGGCCTGGTGCAAGCGGTAGAGTCTTACCGCCTGTGACCGGAAGGTCCCGGGTTCGAGTCGCGGCCTCCTCGCATTGCACAGGCGAGGGTAAGGCTTGCCACTAACACCCTTCCCCAGACCCCGCACAGCGCGGGAGCTCTCTGCACTGGGTACGCCCTTTAAACAGAATTTTTGGAGTTAGTATAGGGTAATGGCATGGTTAGTCCAAAACATTGAACTTTATGGTACCGTGTTCATTCTATTTTGTTCCCCTCCTCTTGAATCTCTCACCTCATAAATAATTTTTGTTGTGTGCTTATGAAATAATGGTAAATTTCTTGTGCAGCAATGGAGATGGCTCGACTTATATGTGGTGGCTGCCAGACATTATTGATGTATACTCGCAGTGCGACAACTGTAAGATGCTCATGTTGTGACACAGTCAATCTTGTCAGACCAGGTACTGATGTATGTGTAAACTTATCTTGCAGATCCATAAGCTTTTGATTTTTCATCTATGACCATGTTAAAGTTCAAGAGTAGGATGCATGTTCTATACAGTCAGAAAAGTTGTTTTGCCATTAAGTTCCCAAGCACCATAATTGATACTATGTTATGCTAGTAATTTATCCACCCCTAGTATACATAAATCAGGATAAGCTTCTTGTATGTTGAACAGCACATAGGCGGTCTGTCAATAGATTGGACTACACTACACTTGCCACCAGTGAACAGCTAGCACTAATGCAATTCAGTGCATTATGCTCTCCCAGCTTCTGAGTTGACCACTTCCTCATCCTGCTGGGGATGGGCGTGAGCAAATCATCTCGAAAGAATCTGTTTCCCTGAGTAACTATATAAAGCAATCCAATCATGGAAATGTAAAGACAACAAGCAGATTAATAGCATTTTCTACTCAGTGTTTCAATGTGTGTCACCATCATAATTGAAGTTCGATTTATGCATGCACGCATTTTGTATAATGATATCATTTATATTATTGAATTTGTCTTCTCACTCCATTTTTGTTCATTGTGCAGTGAGTAGCATAGCTCATGTGAACTGTGGCCAGTGCCAAACAGTGTTGATGTATCCATATGGAGCTCCGTCTGTCAAATGTGCTATTTGCAACTTCATTACAAATGTTGGCGGGGTATGTTAATTTCCTTTATGGGTCTGCTTGTGCTACAAATAGTCTTAAGTGTGTAGTGACAACCACATGATTTTAACATATTTGTTAAACTTTTAACATCAGGTGACTCCCGTGAGACCTTTTCCACCTGCACTACCCGCATCAAGTGGAAATTCATATAACATCCCGTCAACTTCTGTGGTATGTTTATTTTACGAATTATCGCAAAATTCATGTAAGTTTGATGTGATTTATCACAAAATTCTTTTCGTCCAACTTGGGCAGCCAACGAATCAATCGCAGAATGTAACTGTTGTTGTTGAAAACCCAATGACAGTAGATGACAAGGGAAAATTGGTAAGCATGTTATGCCGTTTGCTCACACCTGTGCATTTGCCTTGCCCCAGCGAAGTGAAAGTTGCTAATTTTATTTCGTTTGTGTATGCAGGTGAGCAATGTTGTAGTAGGGGTTACAAGTGGTGGGAAAAAGTAACATATGGCAACCTGTGTAACTTTGTTTATTATTTTTAAAATATCTGAAAAGGTTTAAGAATACCTTGTATCATACTGCTGTTTGGCGATCGGCTGCTTGACGAAGGAATCCCTCCCTGAAGAGCATAGTGGCAAATCCCGCGGCTTTTGCCATTGCGATCGTGCTAGAACGAGCGAGAACGAAGTGCGGGTGTGGATACTCAGACTGTAGCTTGTTACCCTTGATTCTTTTGTATGTAATATGGGCTCTGCCTGACTTTCAAGTGTGATCAAATTCCATGCCCATGGGCTCGTGCTGCCTTGTTATTAGTGAATAACGACAAACAAACATTGCAAATGGCTCTTGAAATACAGTGTGTTTTAATCTGTCTGTCTGTATCCTGATGAGAAGTATCCTGTTAAATGGCAATTGCCCCCATTTGCTGTTTCAGACCGAGAATGCAGATTTGTATCCACGTTCTTTTTTGAAGCGATAATGATGACAGTTCGGATGGACGGACGTCTTCCACCGCTCACTCCCGCTCCTGCTCGCCTAGTGACCCTATATGCTTGTCCCGCCCGCTCGCTCGATGCTCGTTGCGTCGTCGTGCCCATCTGCCCACCCTACTTCATCACGCTGCCGCTGGCCCCCCGCAGCGCCGTGCCCCCTGCCGCGCGCGCGCCCCATCTCTTGCGGCCTCCTCCGCGTCGCATTCCCCATCAGGCCCAGTCTGCCTCGCCTGCCTCCACCGCGTTGCCTCCTCGCTGTGGCCGACCCGCTTGCCACAACCGCCTCCACTGAGCCGGCGAGCCTCCACGATGGATGCTCCGGCAAGCAGGCGAGGGGGACGAGATTCGTGTGACGCCGCACTCATGAGTTGCCCGTGCCGCTGCCACACAACGAGGTCCATGTTGCAAGAGTATGTTTCAAGTGTTTTCGATATTTTATCTGAATGTTGTAAGTGTTTTATCTTGACGTTGCAAAAGTAGATCGGATTGTTTGCACATGTTGCAGTGGCAATACGCGTATGTTTCAAGTGTATGTTATAAATGTTTCATCTCATTTTCCAGACATATGTTTGCAAGTGTTTCATCTGGATGTTACATATGTTTTCACACATATGAAGTGTTTTTTGGTGTTTTTTTTTCAAGTGTTTCATATGTAAGTTTCGAGTGTTTCAACTGTTTTCGTACGTATGTTGCAAGTGTTTTCATCTAGATGTTTCAAAAGTAGATCTGGTGTTGCAACTAATGTGTTCATATGCATGTTTCATGTGTTTCATCTGACTTTAAACGTATGTTGCAAGTGTTGCATCCGGATGTTTCAAAAAGTAGATTGAGTGGTGCATCTCTGTCTTCGCTTTTTCTGTTGCCTCACCTTCACCTCGGTGTCTCTTCCTCCCGGCGGCGGCTGGGCATCCGCCGTCCACTCCCCCTCTTTTTTCTGGATGCTGGCGTAGCCACGTGCTGTAGTCACCTGCTGCAGCTGCTGGCCTCATGCATGCGCGTGAGAAACGAAGGGGGTGCGAGCGGGGACTACCCACGTGCAGTCGGGTGGTGAGGGCCCTGCGTAGGCGGGTGCAGGATGCATGTGCACAGGGCCAGGGGAGATGGAGTGCAGGCACGGGTGTCCGACCTCTGTCCGGACAAAGAAAATATTTGAAGCCCATACGTTGTACATGTCCGATGTATATTTTCTCTATTTTTTATGCTGCTTGCACAAATAGGTTGCTGTCATACGTTAGTTTGAAGAAAAATGCCCAAAGAAAACTTAACCAAAACATGGATAGTAAGACAAAGTTGAAGAACGGATAGTGGCGGTCTGTAAAGAACTCAGCATGAATCTGCATCCAAAAATAAAAACAAACAAAAATTTATGCCAAACACGAAAAAGAGAACAAAAACAAAAACTATGGGGTGAGAGAGGCTCGAACTCTCGACCTCAGGATCACTCGCTTTAGCTATGAGACCTACGCGCTAGCCAACTGCGCCACCACCCCTTCGATGTCCTACCCTCTCTTACATAGTTAACATTTTGTTACTGAATTCGATAACATGAGTCCAGCAAACACCCATTTTCCTTGGTAGTTGCATCTGCGTATGAATTTCATGTCCGTTTCTCTCCACTCTCCTGATCATTGCTTCTCTCTCACTCCTCTGCCAATCCACTTTGCAAAAACCTGAAGAAACAACACTTTCTCAGACACTTCATGTCCCTGCTCCACATGTCCCAACTTATCCAAAGTATGCACTAACCCTTTTTGACTAATCGGCTGGATATAAACAATTTGAAAGTTGAAACAGACTAAAGTAAACCCAAAAAACCAACACTCCTCCAATCGACAATCGATCACACAAGTCACCCAAACTTGCGGAAACTGATTGCATGCCCGCCACTTTTTTCAACGTATAATTTCCAGCCACCATATAATCTCGCCTCAAATGTTTGAATTCCACACGTCAAACTGAATGCTCGTTCTACATTTCTTGGCCATGGACGTCGAGCGTGGCAGCAAGAACACGCCGCCCTCTGCACCGGCTGCTGCTGCGGCGACGACGACGACGACGACGTCGACCTGCTGCGGTAATAAGCGCCCGCAGCTCAGGGATAGGCTCGTCGCGCTGCAGCCGGTGGTGCTGCGCGCGGCGGCGACCCTGGCTACGGCGGCCGCGGCCGCGGTGATGGCGCTCAATGCCCAGTCCTACACCGCGGTGGTCGCCATCGTCGGCACCAGGCCGCTCACGCAGACCTTCACCGCCAAGTTCAGGGACACGCCTGCGTTCGTGTAGGCCTCGCGCTCTGCCTCTTGGAATTCAGTATTCAGGCTTGGCATGCCATGGTCATGCCATGCGCCCATGCATGTTCCTGCCGAATTTCATCGTGTGCCGTGCTGATGCATGGTTTGTTTCATCATCTGTGCAGGTACTTCGTCATAGCCAATGCCATTGCTGCCGCGTATAACCTCGAGGTGCTGCTCATCCGCCGCCTAATTCTGAGGCGGAGGATGGCGGGTTTGGTTGTGCACATGCTTGACATGGTGAGGTTTTTCTCTGAATCCCTGTGTGCAGTTGACACTCATCATGGCATATTTGATATTTTTTTCACTAGGACTAAATGAATGGCATTGATTGTGCAGAATTGCAGTGGCAGGAAAATTTTCCTTTATTTTAATTGATTGATACTAACAATACTGCCCATATATGCCCATACTCCACTTAAAGACAAGACAATACATATTATTACAATATATAGTAGCTTCATCACAAATCAACTTTGAAACAGTCCTAGCACATTGACAACCCAATCATTTGAGTTCAAGAGAGACAAGGCAGTTCATGCATGCATTATACTTGCTTCCTAGAGGTGATTGCTTACGCTGTATATCTCATAACCCATCCAAACCTGATGTGTTCAGAGAGAACAGAACTTTGGAGCCTTGTAATAATTGTGTTCTATAGACTAACAAAAGCTCCGCCTAATCAGGAATCTATTGGATTGCCACTGTCCAAAGCTAGTTGCTTGACTGAAACCTCTGCTGCTGTACCTGCATAGGCCTGCACTGTAGCACGTCTGACAAATCCCAAACCATTGCATTGTCAGTCAATCCATATGGATACATGTACGGCATTATTGTCATCTCTTGTCATTGGTCCAGGTGATCATGGCTCTGTTGGCGACCGGTGCGGCCACAGCGGCGGCGATGGCGGAGCTAGGCAAGAATGGCAACGTGCACGCGCGGTGGAACCCGATATGCGACAGGTTTGGCTCCTTCTGCAGCCGTGGAGGCGTTGCGCTGGCGTCGTCGTTCACCGGCGTCGCCCTCATGATGGCACTGAACCTGCTTTCAGCTGCATCCAATGCTCAATGCTCCCCGGGCCAATGAGTAGTCCGTGTCTCAGACAGCTCATCCACAACAATGCGCTGTTTCGGCAGCTGGATCTCACTCACTCTGGTGATCAAGGCACACAACTGTGAATTAACCTCTCTGATGCACATGTGGGGAGCTGAATCACAGCATGGAGTTCTCCCAAATTTGATGTCAAATTGTTCCATTTTGCTTGGCTTGAAATGGGTGTGCCAAGAGTACACAATAAGCACATAACTGCAGTTGGTTGTGGGATCTTTGGTTAGGCCAGTTCTTACATAAATAATACTTTGGTTTGGGAGTACAATTTTCGTTCTAAGTTGTAACAGGTACTTTGGTTCAGCTCGACCCCAGTCGGAGCTAGCCGGGCTCGGTCCTCCCAACTATTTTGATCTCATATCCCAATAATCCAATGCAAAATTGTTCTCAACATAATTGGTATATGTACAATGTGGATCATTTTTTGGATGCAGGTTTCCTATTTGCACCAGCTTGTTGCTCTAGAATTCTTCATCGAAGTTGTGATAAAACTCGATCACTTCCATAATCAAGGACTTGGCCATTAAAGAAGCCAAGCCATCCTTGAATGGCATGGATTTCATGCGCAGTTGCGTTCTGTTCTCCGATTTCATGCTCCAATACCATTCTATGTTCCAACTTTAAGCACTGTCATTAACCAATTTGAGTACTACTCAATATCATTACCTTTAGCACAAGCACTACAAGTCCAACTTCAACATGGAGATTAAATTTCTGCTAGAATGCCCTATAAAATTTACTCTTACGATATCATGCAAAAGCCCTGCAAATGAATTTGAATTGTAAATATGCTTGTGGCACTTAGAAAAACAATGAATAGTAAATTTTGCTTACGGCACTAAGATTACAATGTGCTTCTAAATGTGGGTTATCCATTTAGTTGATTAATTCTCAATGGTTAAGATAGAAAAGGGTGACCTGTTACCTTAGTCTGATCTTTAGTTCGGGTCAGTTCCCTGCTTGGTAATCCCAGGATTACCCGGAATGGTTGTAACCGTTAAAACTCTACTTCTACTTAATGAAACACGTGTCACAAGGACACGTTCACGAAAAAAAAATATAGCTATAATAGGAAAACATGATCAACCGATTAGACCTAACAATAGTAAATTTGCTCTATCCCCACCAGTTCCTTTTTTGCTTCGAATGAGCTGTACCTCAGTAGTATAACAAAGTGAGAAATCACAGTCTAGATATATGTTCATGCGATGAACTGGCATGAAAAAGAATAGAGAAGACTGGGACGTTTCAGCATCTAGAAGCTGCCACCTTGATGCAAGTACAGAGATGACTGCTCTTTCTTTTCTGCCATTTTGCTCTTGCAAATCCCACTTATTGATGACATAAGGTACAGCAAGAGCATCAGTTAGGATGGAGGCCTCTTTCTGAAAGGTGCAACGAAGCACACAGGTGACAGGTCATCAGTGGTCACTTGATTATGCAGTTGGCCAGCAGCACATCAGGAATAGTGCAGTGAAATCCAGGAACTCTCAACTTACTGCTTGATTAGTATGCTTGTCATCGCAACAATATATCAGAAAAGAAAGATGATGGTAAAGAAGAGATGCTTGGATGTGACTATCATGCCTACTTTCCTGAATAAACAGCATGATTGGATTTTGCGTTCAAAAAAAAAATGATTGGATTTGGACCGGTACTGCATCCGGATGGCAGCCTCTGCATTCTGAATTATTGTATCTACACAGGCACTGTTCTGTTACTATGAATGTACAGAGACTCAGAGAGAGAGAGAGGTCATATGTGAATTATTGTAAAATGATCAGTCTGAAATTCTCCTCATCACTCGTGTCATACTTCTGCATCTGAATATACACACTTCAACAGCCATTACAGAGTTTTACTCCTAATATTTTCCTTGCCTCATCCGAATCGATAGGAAGAAAAATGTTGTATCCTCTACTACTCACACACAATATGTGTATATATATTTCATATATGCAATATATCACCAATCACACTTAGGTTTGCTGAATTGATTTTTCCTAGAAGTGATTCATCCAAGTGGAAGTGGCAGTGGCAGCGGCCATCTCATGCTGCAGGCTTGGCACCACGTCACCGCCGAACTGGCTCAGCACTGCCTTGAGCAGCTTCTTGTCGCTGTTGAGCGGATCAAAGCAGCCGCCCAGTTCAGGCAGCAGGCCATGGTCCAGGTAGCTCATGCCATGGCTGCCGCCTGTGGCCATGGGCAGGTAGCATGGCTGAGCTGCTGCTGCATTGCCGTTGCTGTTGCTGGCAATGTTGTTGTTGAAGCTGGAGAAGCAGGGCACCTGCTGGAGTGCGCCGGCGCCGGCGGTGGCGGTGGTGTTCATGGCGGCCTGGAGCTGTGCTAGGGTGGTGTCCATGAGGGGTGGCAGTGGCGGCGAGGTGGTTGGCGCGGTCTCACGGCCGCCATTGCTGGCCAGGCTCCTTGATGCCTTGGAGCTGCCTCCTCCTCCTGCTAGTTTCTTCTTGCAGATGACTCTGCACAGCACCCAATCTTCATCCTGTTGGTGACAGGAGGAGGATGAATGAAAGCATTGGTTAGTTCATTGAATGGAGTCTCGTTAATCACTTGGACTGACTAGTGACTAACATTAACGTTGATTTGAAGCCTTCATTTTGAACAAGCTATTGTTTCAGGCTTTAAGCTACTTATATTTCTCTTACTTTGTTAATTTAGTCGAAGGCGATCAATGATGAAATTTACATAAATTTGTATATTGATGATTTCTAAAGAAAATTTACAAGAATTTAGGACTTCCATTGCTTGATGCAAATGGATGGACCGGTGCAAAAGGCCATTTATGTTCAAGAAATATAATGGGCAAGCATCCATCAAAAAATAAAATATAATGGCTAAGTATGAAACCCATATACATAAAGAACTCCATATAATTAAAAAATGTAGAGAAAGAGACAAGTAGAGATGTCCATCTCATATGAACAGTGTGACAAAAGTCTTGACAAGGACTGTTCAGTAGGAAATATGCCCACACTACAAATCGTCTCTTTATAGAATTATTAAATGTGCAATCTAGCTAGCTCACATACAGTCTGTACCTATGTATACCTATGCAATCAATTTTATTCTGATTGATATGCAATCAATTTTATTCTGATTGATTGGGGAGACATACCTAAAGCCAAATGGTTCACTACCTCTTTAAGTGGCACATTTATTTTTATTTATTTAATTATAAACAAAGAAAGAGGTGACACATATATTTTGACAAACCGTCCTAAAAAGTTATAGAAGTTGTAGCACAAATTAAGGATGATCAAGCAAAACAACTTGGATACTCCTTAAAAGTACAAGTGGACAAGTGGACTATATGATAAGTAATGATGAAGAGTGCCAATACATTGTCAAACAGAATGCTATATATATAAGATTGTACACTTAACTAAGTGTAATAGCTAGCAGTAATGAACATTACATTGTACAACAACTGAATTATATTTACCTTGGAGTTGGAGGAGAAGTTGGAGGAGGAGGATTGGTCAAGAGCAGGCTCCATCCTGTACTCATGCATCACCCACTCGGTCTTCCTGCCCTTGGGCGCCCTCCCTGGTAGAACACCAGCGTCTTCCTCATCCCCACCAGCGCCGCTCGCCGCGCCACCACCCGGTCCTTCCTGTCGCCTTCCAGTAGCCTGACACCGTCGCCCGGTTCGTCCGCTGCCCTGTCGCGTACTTCCGGTCCTTGAGGCTAAAGAAATACCACTCCCTAGGCCCCACCGATGCCGCAACTGGATGGCCACCAAATTAGAGAGGAAATAAGCAAACAACACAAATTCAGTGATCAGTTGATCTATATGGGAGAATGTTTATATTGTATTGTATGTAGAGATGTTTTTATGTTTTTCTTGTAGACACTCATCTTTCTGGCCACGTACTTAGGCTATCCTGCAGAAGCCAGCTTCACATATAGTATGGTTTCAACAGTATCGCAGCAATTGGCGTGGACGGTCCCTCAGACATATGAATACATATGGTGATCTAGTTTACAAATTGGTAGTCACTAGAATATGTCGATCTTTCTATTCATTTCTTTGGTTTGTGTTTGTTGATAGGCAGAGGCCACGCCTTGATGTATCACTTGATGTAATACTCTTGAGAATTTAATAAAAGCTTCCTTCGTCGAAAAATAGGCTCATCTTTCGACGGTGACACGGACACATTTCGATCAGCCTCCTCTCCTTTTTTTTTTTCATTTCACAAAAGTCATTCTTGGCACTGGCCGGTAGGAAAGGCTATTCATGGGCAGTGATTGTACAACATCAACATGCATGTTGGATTGTCGATGGATCAGATCACCTTGTGTGTGTGGTTGTGGTCACAATCACACACACTAGCTGTTAGTAGAAAGTGGTTGGCTTAGCTACTGGAATACATGCTGGATGGTGAGGTTTGGAGCCACTGCTAGAAATAGCATGGGGCTGTGTTGCCTGCTGCCCATAGCTTGGGACCTTCTGCTAGTAGTGTACTATATGTGCTGCATCCGCGGCATCAATTTGACAAGAGGGAGGGAGGGAGGGAGCTGGGACACGTGTGCGGTCCACACAGAGGGTGTGTCATGTGTGTGTATGTGTGATGGGAATCTGAGATCTCATGCGTAAGACGTGATTTGCAGTTTGTTGCTTTCTGATGTGCACTAATAATTTGAGAGGCCAGGAGCTCAGCATATATATCGCCGATGTGTATAGTAACAGAAGAATAATTACTACTAACTAACTTAACCCAAGGTATTGCACAAGCTGTCGTGGTGTAGTTGGTTATCACGTCAGTCTAACACACTGAAGGTCTCCGGCACGCCAAATGTTTTTTCGTTTCTGCTTTTTTGCCCTTTCTGTGCATGATAAAATAAAATAGATTTGGTGAATTTAGAAACCACCATATATATATTTGAAAACGTGTGTGCTGAAACTTGGTGGATTTTGACCACCACACAGCACGTTTATTTTCGAACCTTTTCAACTATATAAGCTGATGATATGAACCCTAGTTACGTACTACTACTGTAGATATATATAGCTAGTATGTAGTATGTACATGAATAAAGAAATATAAGGCAGGCAAAGCACTAATATCTATCATCATTTGAAAAATCAAGAAAAGGATATGGCATATCTGTCAATGTTTCATAAGATCAAACTAATGCTAGCTGATGAGAGTATCTAGAACGAACGCACGCAAGGCCTTAAAAGAAAGCATTTTGGACACAAACTGAAAGAGGTTGTAGAGAAGATTCGTTGACCAGACGTTAGAAAGTTGGCCGTAGTAAAGTTTGTAGTAAATGGAATATATATATTGTTTCTCGTTGCTGATAAGGGGGGAAATTCAAACTACAACTAAGTCTGAGAGCATTTTTTTCCTCAAAAAGTCTGAGAGCATTATTTTTTGTACCCCTCACCAAATGGAAACGAGAATATTTCTACTCTCCGTCATGTGATGTCGTCACGGTATTCGTCACATATGCATCGTCCTCCATGCTTCCCATACTAATTAGGAGTATACAAATATTTTTTCATGGAAATTGCCCAAATTGATTATAAAAAATATTTGCCTAATGCCAGTAGTGTATGAAAACAAGATACGTGTACCTACTGATTGTTATTGTAGTCTTCTGTATATCTATTACGTGTACCACTCTGATTGTGACGTTGATATTATACCACCGCATGAAGGTTCAAAAACAAACAAACAAACAAACAATTATATAAACAATTATAGCAGAAGAACAAAAATAAATCCATATGTATATTTCAACTGTGTGTATACCTACTGATTAATTTTGACCTTCAACTTAAAGGACAACTAGTGATAATTATCGAAGGAGAGGCATCGACAAGTTCATATATAAAAACAAAAAAAAGGAGTATAGAAAATATATACCAATAGGAAGAGGAAGAAACGGAAATGATTATGTGTATGAAAACAAGATCATAAATTATTTCTAAGGGTTTAGGTGGTAACGGTAACGGCGATATATATTATCCTTGATGACGAAAAAAAAGGGTGCAATTTAGTGTATGAACAGCAGCACATTGGGGACTCGTGGTGTTTCTTGACGCTGAAGCAACAGAGGATCCCAATAGCTAATTCATTTTGGAAATCAATAAATTAAAAGGCAGAAAAATAAGAGGCTGTGGATTTTGATCATGGAAGAATAAATAAATAAAAATCAACGATCCCTGTTGTCCATGGAGAATAATAATTTCTCCATCTCTCTTTCTCTCTCTAGACATCAACTGGTGCAAGCAAAGTCATCGAAGAAGAGAAAAGACAGAAAGGAGCTAGCAAACTTTTACACTTTTATTTAGAGAAGATGCATGCGTGTACCGATCGATGGACTTGTGGATACTCACCGGGGAGATCCCATGGCTCGACCTTGTTGAGGTCGACATCCACCATGGGTGGCCGGCGGCCGGAGAAGCCGACCTTGCCGCCGAGCTTGGGCGCGAGGTAGTCGCAGATGAGCTCGTCGTCCCTCGGGTGGAACCGGAACCCCGGTGGCAGCTCCGCCTCCACCATGCTCAAGAAGCTCATCGACATGATCTCTCTTGCTCCCTTTCTGGTTTGTTTTCCACAAGTCTCTCTCAAGTTGTGAGATCGACCAGAGAAAACATTAATAGGAGATGAGAGAGAGAGAGATGAAAAGGGGATTGGAGGAGGGAGGAACTAGTAGCTAGCCTAGTAGCCAGCAGAAAGAACTGGGTTGTGTGTGCTTGTGTCATGTGACTAGTTTGGAAGAGGGGTTTATAAGGTGGTTTAGGTGGTGGGTCTCCCTCAAGCTTCTCATCTATCCTTCTTATCCCTTTTTTCCATCTTCCCATTTTGCCTTTTCATTCCACAAATACGGGCAGCACTTTCCAGGTCAGTACAAGGGACAGTAGATGCTACAATATGTTCACAGCTCTCCATCTCCACATATATATGGCACTAAGGAAATTTCCCTGAAATATATGTGTGTGTAAAAGAAAAGGAGTGACCCAAAACGAAAGGAATATGTGTAAAATACGAAGGCCGCCTTGGAACCAAACTGAAAAGGGCTGGATTGCTATCCACCACGGATGTACAAGCAAGTGCACCATTTGTCAGCTAGGGTGTGGCTGGCCTACTTCTTCAAGTCAAATGTTTAATACTTTTGAAGGAAACTGAAAGGTTAGAGTCTATCATGTTGTAGCTATTAGAGAGTCATAAATATTATGAAATATTTTACCAACAATATAGCCTGGTGCCCGGTGTCTTAATTTTTGTCAGTAGGTGCAAGTACAAGGAGGGTTTTTTTTCTTGAAACAAAGTATAAACAGAGACTATCATGTACACAAGCGCTCACCCTTATGAACACCTGCATAGACAATATAATCAACCCTCACGAGCACATTCGAGAGACTAGGTTGACAAATTGAGATTGACAACTGAACACATGCACCTCACCGACAATGGGCATGTATTGACTACTAGCCACTAAAAGAATAATTAGTTGTAAATGTGAGCACCCTTGCCGAGTCGAAGATCCGAATTCGGTTGATAAGTTTCACCACAAGAAACCTAGCTAGTTTCTGAAAAATGACACCTTAGCTAGCTAAATATATGTGGGGTGATGAAATAAAATAAGGCCTACAATGCATAGTTTTATTCATGACTTTATAAGCTCAACATAGCATCTAAGTGTTGCATAGTGTTATAGTAAGATGAAACCTTTTCAGTGGAGTTTCATTTAGTTTCGAACATATGTGGATCAAATGGAATGCTCTCAATGGAGTTCCACTTGGTTTCCAATGTGTTGAAAACCGTATACACAAAGTTTAATCTTGATGAAAATCGTATCATCCCTCACTTCATAATTTCCATGTCATATCACCAATTTTACAGATGTGATGCTTCATTAAATTAGATTGAAACTCTCATTATATTGGGACTTACCTAACAACAGTTAGTTCGCAAACCTTCAAATGTTCATTATTACAATATAAACATCACATCTTATAAACATTAAGAAATATTTTACAAATAAGCAAGGGGACGAGGAGCATCATAAACAAGTGGTTGGGGGTAGGAGGGATGTATCTTAACCACCTTGGTTCAAGTTATACATAATCAAACGCCAAAGTCGGGTTCAGGTTAGTCAAAAAATTAAAACTGATAATTTTTTGTTTGGCCCAAGCCTGACTCGAGCCAAACATTAGGTCAAATTGATAGGAGATTGAATCAACTTAAATATGTTGCTAGTGTGTGTATCTGTTGTGCGTTAAAAAAAAGCGGAAGGCAAACCATACGCCCACACAAGCACCGTGATGTGAACGGGCTCAAATGGCTAGGACAGGGTGCGTTTCACTCTAAAAAGAATAAGAAAACATCAAGGCGATTTCGTTAGCCATGACAAAACTCCAACTCAGCATAATACCAATGGATGGTTGGATAATGGACTCCTAAACTCGCTTTCATGCTCTCGGCATGCTAGCTGGCACTGTCGTCAGCTCATTCTTGGCAGCATGACCTGGGGTGAGAGAGTCTGCCAAGACCGTTCTCCTCTCACCTACCTCGTGCTTAAAGCTGGCGATCGGATGAGGACCGTGCTCCGTTCACACCTATATATACTTATATATTTACACACGAGTAGTCTGTTATGACCTTGGATCAGGATCGACTGCGGCTAAGGACGTTGATACTTGAAGGTGCAGTGCACGCACGGGCACGGCATAGCACTCCATAGCCATGAAGCTCCTCGAGATCGGCGACGTGTAGCACTCCATAGGCATGAAACTCCTCGAGATTGGCAACATGTGATCTTGGCCATCTAGAAACAATATTTCCTCTGTTCCGAAATGCAAATTGTTTTGATTTTTTCTAGATACACCACTTTTACAATGTGTCTAGACATAATAGACATATCTAGCTAACTACGCTTCGGCCTCTTAACATTCCCGAGTAAATGAGTGTAGCCATTTGGCACAAATCCCGACACTTCGCGTCCGACACGGTGGTAACAAAAATATATAAAAATCATGATTCAATCCGATTTTAAAACATCACCCAAACTTGTTGAATTTTAAAACAATCTCCCAGACACAGGAGAATTTCCGTAGAATCCCTTGAGACCCCGATAAAATTCAAGCGAAATGACTGGGTGCTAGGACTCCGACGACCTCGCACGCTCTCACGCAGACACGTGGCATGGCAGAGAAGGCGACACGCGCCCCCAGCCCTCGCGAGGTGCGTCGAAGCCGCACCCGGAGCTGGCCGCCATTTTCTTCTCACCTTCTCATCTCGGTGAGAAGCAAGCGCACGTAGCTGGCCGGCCGGTGCACGTAGTGGCATGTGATGCATATCCCAGGGCCTCAAGGGGGAGGCATGCGCTCGGTGCGGCCCGCCGTCACACCAACCACGCGCGGCCGCGGCGCGCGATCCCGTCGCCGCGGCGGCACCGGGCCCGGCCGTTGCGCTGCGCAGACGCATCACGTGACCGATCCAGCAAGCGGCTTGCCATCCCTTCCTTCCTCCCCCTCTCTCCTCTCTCCAACGCAACGCCCAGGCTCACGTCGCGACAAAGCAGTCACAATCAACCCTGCCGACAAAAAAAGATACATATTTAGAAAAAGAATTTTTTTGATAACAATTATATAGAAAAACACTGTTAAAAAGAAAAAATAAAAACATAGGTAATATATAGCACCTTGGAATTTTTGCAGCCACACGGGACTGGCCGGTAGTCTAAAGACTGAAATTGACGAACCCATGGAATGGGAGTAGTACATCTCTACTCTCCGGTGTCCAGTCCAGTGCCAGATTCGGAGATTCCTCTGCCCCAGCCTGTTCGCTTGCTCGTAAACGATCGTAAATTTTTAGCTAGAAATAGTGTTTTTCTCTCACACCAAACCAGCCAGCAGTAAATAATCCACGATACACTGTCACGATCAAAGCCACTCACTACCCACAACACTTCGCGAGTGCGGCCGTGGCTCCTCCACGGTCAGTCTTCTTGGACAAGTCAAGCAAGCCCCACAAAACAAAAGGCAGTGAAAATCCTTTTCGGCACATATTTCCTGTCAAAAAAAAAAGATGGCTGGCGGCGATAAGATGGATGGCGGCACACAAATGAAGAGATGCCATTCCGCAGATCTATCCAATCCAAGAAGTAGACACCAACTGTTCTTGCAAGACCCTCGCGATAAAAACAGACAATAATGGGGGAATTTATGCCCGCCTGCTCTACCTCTACCTCACTAACCAATCTGAGAGTGACCTGGAAATGGGCCTGATAGCAACAGCAGAAACCTCATCCACCCCTTCCCCTCTCTGCACGGCCTAACACCCCATTTCCAGTAACTTTTAACCCAAACCAGCCAATCAGCTCGCGCCAAGCGCGCGCCGGGAGAACAGTCTTTCCTAGCATATTCCCGGTTAAAACGATGCTCAAGATCTCACCATCAGATATTGGCTGGCTACCATCAGTCCATCGCGCCACCGTGGCCCAGCACGAGGGTGGGAGCTTCCAGGTCAAGAGCTGTGTGCCATTCATTACCTCTCTCCGCCGCTGCTGGCTGCATCGGTGAAAAGCAGCTGGAATTGACCGGTGGCTTCACCATGCACCTCCGGGTGGCAAATCTGGATAAGGGTTTGAGGACGGAAGGGCTGCGACGGCTCTGAGTGTCCACGTTGATGCTGATCCGTCATCGGAAGTACAGGCGCCATCGTTCTCATCACAACGGCTGGACAAATTCTGCAAAACAAGGACAAAAGAAGAGGGTAGATTCCATAGCTCTCTCGCCTTCATGATCACGTACAATCCAGGTAAGGAGAGTTTATTTGACACATGGAAGTAAAAGCAGCCAATTATTGCATGGTGATACAGCCAAAAAGGATGAACGTAACAGGATTCATAGAAAGCCAATGCCAGGATATAGCTTCCGTCAGTAAAACTCCATTGTAAAATCTCATCCAACAAATGACAGCTTGTTGCTCATGGGCTACCATGATAAGAGCACGCTCAGCACAGATCTTATCCATCTACCAGTGGCCCAGGAATTATTTTGAATACACCTCTTTACACCTAGTACCTCTGCTGATTGCATCACCTTCCTCTGAACTAACAAACCACGAGTGTTGAATAAGCCCGATTAAATGACTGGTCAACATGGAGAATTGTATCTGCAAGGTTTTGCGGGGGTAGCAATTCACCAAACTCATTTTTTTAAGTTGTCAAGCCTGCAGCAGAAGAGTAGAAAAATCTCACAAATTGCTGGGTGGACTACAAACAATTCGAGCAGTTAATTAAAAAAAACCCATTAACAAATAAATAAATGCTCATATGACAAGAACAGTAAGTCAAATCACCAAAGCACTAAAAAATGTATACACGCCAGACACACGCACACATGACATGCATGGATAAGCAAAGCAATGACAAACCTGAAACCACAAACATACTGATGGAACCACGTGGGCAGCACATGTTCAATAAAATGCAAGTCAACCTCTTCTGCCAGTCGTCTTTCAGCCTACCCATATTGGTGGCATCACATCAGAGATCCTACAGGATTTGATTTTTTGTAGATTTGCAGGTAAATAATCAATGTGGTTATATTTGATTTTTATGACACGTCACAGTAGATTTGTAGGTAAATAGTCAATTTGTTAGGCAACTTACATTGTTCAACAATCACTTGTCCCTCTCTGCCAAACCTGCTCAACTGACTCCAAATCATTGTTCTTGTGATCAGACATAACTTTACCAATTGCACCAGGATACGCAAGGCAGGCAAAATCCTAGGAGTACCTGAATAAAAATCCTCTCTTGTTTCCATTGTCTGGCCGTTTTTCTTTGAAGTAAAGATCATTCCACTCTATAATATACCTATTACTCTCTCCAATTCCAAAATTATTGTTGTTTGGAGAAGGTTCAGGTTAAACTTTTAAAACTTTGACTATCAATGACTTCTCAAATACTTAGTTTGAAGGCACTAAGACACATGCATAGATTAGTCTTAAAAAGTACCTCAATTGAGGGTGCATTGCCCTCTCAATTTCAAAGATAAGACTATCTTCAGTGTTTTTTCTTAATATGGGAGGACAGCAAGTACAATAACTGTATCTAAATCTAATGAACGAACAAGTTCTGCCATAAGACAATAGTCTGGCTGATAGTTTGGTGCCAACACACCATCCCATCAGCTGCATATCCCGGTATCAGAAGACTTATCATGTCATGCTTCTGAAGAATTTGCAGATAACTTCCAAGAAACAGCAATGCTTCAACTAGGTTGCTTAGCTCTCGAAGATACAATAACCGATCAAGTAAAATATATGTTTCCACCAGTGGACCTAAAGCAGCTCGAAGGCACCAAAAGGGACCTATATATTCCTGCAAGAATAAGAAAAACAGTCAGATTAGAAATTTGATATGATACGTGTATCTTTTTGTGTTATAATATCAGGGGGGAAAGCAGTCATATTTCAACTACTATTCTTTTATTTTATGAATATAAAGCAGTTGGAAAGGCATTTGGACGGACATGTTTTCTTGTTAGCACTTAGCTCTTGTGCACATTTATATGGTTCGTATGAGCATAATATAATATATGATATATGTTACTACGAATAATGGAAATTGAATTGGATGATTATATTGAGACCCAATGGGACTACATATAGAGTACATGGAGAGACATAAGAGGGAAACCCTGGACTAGAAGATTACACTAATACCCTTGACTATTATACCTTAACAATATCTCCACTACTGCAAGGCATAACATATCGTACTTATCTAATTCTAGACTACTGTCACATAAGCAAACACATGTTATTAATCTGCCTTATGTCTTCTTCCAGTATTAAAACATAACAATTTACTATGATTTGCATAACTCTTGATACATTCCATCAACACACCTACCAGAAACACAGTGATGTAATTCCAATTTAAAGTACTATTGAAGAAATTGATAGCCACAATGGGGCCTTTACAAGGATTTCCACACTAGTGTGTTAAAACTGAAATGACCTCAGCAAGCATACTTATCAATGTACACCAAGGATTTGCTTACCTAACGCATCGTGTAAGACAAAGACAGAATAAATAACAAATAACTTCGCTTCTATTGACAACAAACAAATAAGTGAAAATAATCAGTACTTGGAATAATACTATCACAAGATAGATAATAAAAAGGGTGTCCTGATAAAACCTACAGAGAATGGTTGCACGTCCTTCCATATTTCAAGAAGACTCGCGTCTTCCACTGAGCCACAGCCAAGGCGACCTAATCCAGATAATGTGAAATCTTTGAACAGGGTGAACTTTTGACATGCAGTATGATGGATGTCATCTGGCCCTGTGTCAACTCCATATATGACTGAATCAACATCATTTGTGTTCTTGTTTTGTTCCTTTAAAGTTGAACAGGAGAAATCATCAATTTTCTTTGTAATCATTTGTGATTCCACAACTTTCCAAAGCCTCTGACGTCGAAGAGCTTTTCCTTGCCTTCCAATTGATGGACTCAACCTTGACAGTTCTGGAAAATATTTCTCAAGTACCTAGAGCAAAAACATATAATCAAGCGAAGCCATAAATTTGAATGATACAAAAAACAAATTGCTAGTTTACAAATCCAAAACCCAAAAGGTATCTTCCTTCATGTACTATCGACACCAAAAAACTTCTCACCTGAAATTATACTCAACACATTTATGAACCATCAACCCACTTCCATATGCACAAGGCCCAAGGCACGACTATGTGTACTCTAAACAGGAAACCAAAAATAATACACCTAAACATTTGGCACTGACGAAGGACCGACGATTGGTATGCAGTGTGGCTAGCTTATCGGCATGTGTGGTGAATGTATAAACTATGTGGTCTTTCCGAGAGAGCTAATATGTCAGTTTTCTAGATAAGATCATGAGGTAAATTGGGAATGTCACAAAAGTTGCTGCTGGTGACCAGTCTATAAGCCAGCTTGCAGTGTCATGTTCATCAAGCTAGCTGAATATTACATTCAAACTGTTGCTTAAGCACAGATAAGAATGCATAGCATGAAGTCTAAATTTATATGAATGAACTGCTGATACAATGCAACTAGGTAAACAAGAACACATACTCATCAACAAGTCCACTATGTCCAGAACCTTTCTTCAGAACAAAATTGAACATGAGGATAAATGAATGGACCAAACATAAAGCATCGAGTTAAATAGCCAAAGTATTATATAAGTGAAAAGGTCAAAACATTTGTTTAGAAATAACAACATTTACCATTTGAAATGCAGCTCGGAAGGCATGTACATCAAAATTTTGCAGTGCAATGTCCATGGTGAGATTTCTCCATCTCTCCGCGCTCTAACATGATTAAAAAATATTAAATAAAGAGCTTTATAGAAAAAATATCACTACATTTCGATAATTTCAAAGGATGAATCCTTAGTAGTATTGTAGACCAAAAATGTAAAAGAAAAATGCTTGCAATTAATCAATTCAAACTAGAGATACAATCAAAGTACACTAATTACCTAACACACAAGTGATGTCACAAAATACTGCAATTAACTTTTACTTTTATTAGGACAAGTAACTATTAGCTCTATAATACAACATTAAATACATATACTTAACATAAAACAGATTAATAAAAAAACTTGCAGAGGCAAAGATAAGTATCCTGTAATTTAGGTCAATAATGCTTTAAGCCACAAAATTGCAGACATACAAGTATCCACAGAGGAAACACAAAGCTTCGATAAGCTTATGAGATTTTTTTTTATTTCTAAGTCCACCAAACAGATACCTCTTTTGGTATCTTGTTTATGCTGAGTGCCTTCAAACATGAATTTTAACAATATGAGATGTTTCAAAAAACAGAAGGCAACACTAGATCATGAACTGCTATCATACCTGACAAGCAAGGTCATGGATGCTTTTCCCTAGCACCAGTTCAGACAGTTTGGCAGCCTTGCTCATAGGAAAACCAGGGCAGGTGTCTGTGTCCTCATTAGAATCCTCAGAAAGCAAGTTGTAACAGCAGCCAACACTTACCGATGCTTTTACTTGTTCAAGAGGGCAGAAAAACTCTGTTAAAAAAGAAAGTAACATTCTAAAGACTTTCATCAAGGTACAAACTGCTTTTATTCAAGATGCAACGTTTAGAAAGCTTGGAGAAAGGACCACGCCCATGGCCATGTTCTCATACTTCACAAACACCAACCTTAGCATGTTAACTGAAAGATCACCACATGCATGAAGACCAGCTAGGATTAATGGAGGGCTGCCTTGAGTTGGTTCCTGAATTTGAGTGATTTTCTTAGTGGAAGCCTTAGTTTCTCTCACGTGTTCACCATGGTCATCCTTACATGCATCTAACGTGACTGCTGCCAATGTGTCACTAGAAAGAACATGACAGGTGACAGTCCTAGGTACCGTGAGCAGTTGCTTCTCCACACTACAAAAAATAATAATAGGCACAAATTAGATATGAATCCAAAGGTAGTAGAACTGAAATAGAACTTGATGAAGGTTGCACCATTTAGCAGCATAGTGCTTCTTTATTCTCTCTGCACGAGCACTTGTAACTGATGCATGGTGTGATGAAGCATCTATCGCTACAACAGGGAGTTGGTACTCAAAAGACAAAGACTGTGCGAGATAACCCTGATAATATTAAATAAGATGAGAAAAAAGATAAATACATGACATAACACATTACTGCCGAAACTAGGTTAAAACCGATCATTTCTTTCATTTAACAGCAACAGAAAACACAAGGCATTGCCATACATGTCTACAACAAAAACCAAATGGCTTGACTTGTGCATTTGATTCCAATTTGCAAATAAGTCAACAAAATAACAGACAAGTCCACGTAGGCCATGTTCTTCGTAGATTATGACTATTTGAAAACGAGTGAAACAGTCCGTAATTTGGCTTCCTAGCTCATGACTTCCAAAGTATCATGCAATAAAGGCATAGCTTATGAAATATGGACATATATAAAGCACAGCATATGTCTTTTCCTCGTGGACCAGTATATTTAGCTGTATCGATTGGGACATTCCAGCTCAGGATTGGTGATGAATACATAAGCCTAATATTTAAGATGGCACAATTTTTAAGTTCACAACCAAAAGGAATGAAGAGGAATGCAAACTGTCCAAGTATTAGAAAGACAATTGTGTTCACTTGAAATCTGGTTACAATTGCACAGATGCTTGCATGCATATGACATACCTGGCCAGAACCTACATCAACCACTGTATTCGCTCCGCACTTCTTTGCAATTGCATGAACCACCGCAGCTAGATTTTCAATCTGAATAAAGCAATTTCTTCAAACATGAGAGTGCAAATAACAAATGAAAATAACAACATATTTGCAAATAAATAAGAGAACATAGCAAGTTCAACAATCAGTATGAAGCCGGATTACCTACTTCATGCTTCTTCTTTGAGTTCATGCCTTGAGCGAGAACAGTGCCAATTGGGGCTACATGAATATCAGATACAAGCTGCAAATTTTCAAGGAAAAAAAGCATATCAAGACTAAAGCTGATCGACAAAACTGACAATCTCTTAACCAAAATGACAGCAAGGTGATCCAAGTATGGAATGCAAACAGATATTAAGAAAAACTAATCTGATGTACTGAATTATTCTGTGCACTGAAACCAAGCAACATGACTGCAAACGGAGCGCCTACAAAAAACTTGGATATAAAGTGCACAAACTCAAATGCTGCTGAAACACAATATTCTCAGTGTTCTACCTGTACCGAGTTTAGTTGATAAATGATAATATAATTTATTCAGGAAACCTACCGATTGTGGAGCCTTCTGCTCCCGTGGAATAAACAAGCGACCTAGCAGTAAGCACAAACTTTCGCAGTGTAGCAGGCCAGTGTTCCTTCACACCAATAGAAAGTAAGATACATCAAAGTCAAACTGGCAAGGACATAAAATAGCAACGATGGACTTGAACTACCTGGACGCATCCTGATGGCAGCTTGAGCAAGCTCTCGACAGGCTCCGCCGGAGGCACTCCATCCACTAGCTCCCACAACCTGCCCTGCTCGAGCCGAACCGCACAGGACACAAACTCTCAGCAAACAAACCCTCCAATCGGCCGATAAACGCGCCGCCGCCGCCGCTCGCCGGAGTCGCCGCCATCGCGCGCGGGGAGACAAGCGGTGAGAGGAAGCAGAGCCAAACTTCCCAAGTGAGGTCCGATCCGGCCAGCGAGTCGGGCTACTTTCCAGTGCTCTCCTGTTGGGCCGTGTTGGGCAAAAGGATGACCTGGGAAGAAAGCCCTGTTCGTTTACTGGGCTCGTTGTTTGTTTGGTTTTTTCTTTTTTAAAACCCATTAACGAAAGAGGTTGTGCCGAATTCACAGGCTTGCTGTGGAATCTTGATCTTAAATTTTTCCCAGATTCAAAGGCTTGTTTCCGAAATTGATCTTCATTTTTTAGATTGTTCATCGATTACACTCGTCGTTTTTGGAATTCAAAACGAGCTGATTTCGAATAGCTGATTAGAAGTAAAACGAGGGTGCTTGGTATAAATGAACCGACTTATAAATGGATCTGTTCGACGGCGAATTACACAGATCTCACAAAAAAGTTTGGCATGGTTTTCATGACATATCTTGATTTTTTTTCTTTTTTGAAACTTACAGCTAGGTACATAGACACATAGTGAAAGTACGTGTCAGCCTTGATCGCAAATTGAAACAATGAACACTTTGCCCGGTGCAAACCAAATCACACCATTCTTCACTCAAAACACAACCAAGTACTACAACCCAGTTGAGTTTATAAGTTCTGGGGGCACTTTGCAAACTGGGCATTGTATAACTATCGCTCTGTTCGTTTGAGCTTGTTTGACTTAAGCTGTACTTTTTCAGCCAACGAACAATACTTTTCTCTCACACCAAATCAGCCAACAGTACTTTCAGCCATGGCTTATCAGCCAAACAAGCCCAAACAAACAGGACGATATGTGTCCAACACGGGACTGGCTGCTAGGCATTTTTGTCCAATGCTCACCAAGTGACTTCAAATCATCCACAAAAGTAGAGAAAACGGCAAGTTTAGTGTGCGATGACAGCAGGTTAAAAGAGGACAAAGAACAAGACTTGAACACGCGTACGAGAGGCAAACCCCACGTCCTTTTCATCTCTACTAGTGTGCCAGGATTCCATCGGGCAAACCTTAATGAGTACAAACTACAAACTTAAAGGCCCTGTTCGTTTCGCTGAAAAAATAAGCCGAAACACTGTTTCGGTTGATTTGCTGTGAGAAAAAAATACTGTTCCAGCTGAAAAAACGAATAATAAAAGAAACGAACGGGACCAAAGAGCATACATTCGCGAGGGCCTAAGCGCCCCAAATCCAGAATACGGACCAAATAGCTCCAGCATACAGCAAAATGGCTGAAACAAACGGCTAGGGAACAGCTAATTGAGCCACAGATAAGTGGCGTCATTGCCGGTAGCAGTAATATCTTGCGTGGTCCGTGGTATACTGAAGCCAAACAAGATAAAGATGTAGGCAGCCGTCCCATTGAACGTCCTGGTCACTGTGTCGAGAGAAGAGAGGAGACATGCCAAAGATAACATTGTCAGAATCATCATGCTAAAGTAAACTACATTAATTGTTTCCAAGTGGATTCACAAGTTTCAAGTGGCCATATGCTGTCATGCCCACAAAACAAAAGGTATTCATTCTATTCAGGACAAAAATGTATGGAACTTTTGAACAGAAATTAGGTAAGGTTTTCAATTATGGATAACTTAATTCCATTCATTCCAACAAAGAAAAGACATATTTATCTGCTCTAGACTATACGACTCAACAGCCTGGTCGGAAGAGCTATTTGCAGCGCTGTGGCTACACAAGACTACCTTGAGCAACTGTAGCACTGAGCGTTGGCTTGTGCAGCAACAGCCACAGCGCTGCACAAGTAGCACAAACGATCACAGCCAACCTACATCCTACAGGTACACCAAAAAAGTGTCACAAAAAGGAGTTGTAGTTGTCTTTAAAAAAAGGAGTTGCAGGACCTGTTCGCTTGGATGAATCTGAAGAAATCTGGATGAATCTGTGAGAGAGTGAACAGTGTTTTCAGCTCCAAACAATGATTTTCAGCTGCCGTTCATGTCAGCCGAACGGCACCGTAGTTGCAAAGGATACTTCAGGAAATAATAAAAGTTCCCATAGCATATCTCTAATTTCACAAGTATGCAACAAATGTCAGGTTGACCACATGGTTCTAAAAGACCTAATTAAACTTACATTTACTCTCGATTAAACCTCAAACAGACCCCTGGTGCGAGTAGGTGTGAGGCAGTGCTTAAGCGGTGCAGAAACACAAAAGCAACTGCCTGGCTGGCTTGGTAGGCTATGTGTGACTGCGCGGGCTGGCGGGTATGAAAAAAGCACGCTGAAGAGTCAAGGAAAAGGGAAAAAGGACACGTGGGGATCAAAATTGCAAGTCCCTTCACTTCTTTGCATGTTTGCAAGAATTGGAATCAAAATTGCCTAAATGTGTTACAATTTCTTCTAAGATCAAAGTTGGGTATCTAATCTGAGCCATATGTGTTGCCAGAAAAAACTAAAAATTAAAACAATAAAAAAGCACAAACACTTAATCACGTTTAATCTACGTTTAAACCATCTAAGCGTTAGGAAGTGGCCTAGCGCCTAGCGTGTTTTGGAACCTTGGTAAGCTGTAAGCTTGTGCACCCACCAGATTAAAGAAAAGAACAGATACAGATATACAGCAAAGGAATGTGACCTCATACACAATTAAACCCTCTATAGGTACGCAAATCATACTATGAATCAATGATATTGCCATTTAATCTTGTCTGGTTTGAATGTGAAAGTGTGCAGATACACACAATCACTCAAAGACAGTACGCTAAAGAATGTTGGAAGTGCTAAAACCGAATATTACTAGTGAAAAACTATTTGGCAGAATAAGAATACTAGATTTTTGTGCAATTTAGCAAATAATAATAATAGCATTCCCTTATTTCAAAGTGCACAATGGAAACAAGTTGGAGGCAAGATGATTTTGATGCAACAATACAAAGTGCACTATGGAAACACAAGTTGGATGAATGAGCATGTCAACAACATAAAGTAACTCCAAATGACTGAATAAAACAAGGAAGATTCTTACTATTCCGCAGGGACAACGGAGGTAGGAAATTTGCATAAAGATGAGCAAAATCAATGCATTTATTCAACAGGCACAATCTCTCCACCAGTAATGTTTTGAGATGTAGCGTGAAATAGTGTATATCTGGCATCTTCTCGAGCTCAGCTGAGTCTGGTGGAATAGCTTGAATGAGTAAGTAGCCATCGCATGTACCACAGAAGCTGATGGAATACCTGTCAGAGTCGAGCAAGGGGATTGGGATTGTCTTTTCATGCTGCCACTCTTCCGCACTAACACCATTGTCTTGCCAAGCCTTACAGTGGAGGTCTAGCACGCCATCACCAATGGTTAAGAAACCAAGCCTCCCTTCTCCTGCCTCAATAATGGCATGCTGTCTAAAGCGGAGGACAGGGGTGCGTACCACGGAGAATTCCATCTTGTGAGTGTCCAGCATGAGTGTAACACACTAGGTGTTAGGTTTGCACTTTTGCACTTGCATTGCATGAGTATAAACATCATTCATTCATATGTGAGCATTAACATATGAAACATACAAGAGAAACATATGAAACATTCCTTTGTTATTCTATGTTGCAACATGTGTATGCTTTATGGTCATGCTTGTTAATGCAAGTGGTTGATGTTGATCACTAGGATGCAAGGTGGTGAAAGGATTAAGATGCCTAAGAGGGGGGGGGGTGAATTGGGCTAATTCTAAATTTTTTGCAATAATTAAGCCCTACACTTAGCCCATTTCACCCCTTATGTCTAGAATGTGTTTCTATTGTTCTGCCGTACAAAAGTTTTGCATCCTAGGTTCCAATTCTACTCTAGCATGGCAATTCTAGTAATGTAAAGATATAAAATGAATTGCTCAAATGTAAATGCTCAAAATAAAGAGAGGAAAAGGAACACGGCGATGTTTTCCTGAGGTATCGGAGAGTCGCCACTCTCCACTAGTGCTCGTTGGAGCACCCGCGCAAGGGTGTCGCTCCCACTTGATCCACGCAAGGATCAAGTGCTCTTTACGGGCTGATTCTTTGACACTCCATCACGGTGAATCGCCCACAACCGCTCACAACATGACTTGGGTCATCCACAAGCTCCGCCGGATGATCACCAAGCTCCCAACCACCACCGAGCCGTCTAGGTGATGGCGATCACCAAGAGTAATAAGCATAAACTCTCACTTGACCAAGACACGCCTAATGAGAAAGATGGATGCACACTTGCTACTCCCTATGCACTAGTGAGATCCTTAATCTTGGATTATCAACTCTCAATCACCACACTAGACTCTTGCTCTCCCTTGCACTCCAAAGACGTTTTCACAGCTGAACAATTGGGCAAGAGACCTCATATGAACGAGTGGGATAAGTATTTATACCCCCTCACTCAAAACATAATGGTTGGAAATCAACTCAGCAACTTTCAGGGTGACCTGACACGCCGGTCAGGGTGACCGGACGCCCCAACAAGAGTACACGTCCATCATGTTAGAGAGAGCCGTTAGCTCGATCGGACTCGACCGTGTCCGGTCATCACCCACCGGATGTGTCCGGTCAGCAAAATGCTCCTATGGATGCTCTCTGATGTTGATCGGACGCAGGCACCCTAGCGTCCGGTCATCACCCACCTGACGTGTTCGGTCACCAAAATGCCCCTATGGATGCTCTCTGATGTTGATTGGACGCAGGCACCTTAGCGTCCGGTCATGTGTTTAGCGTCCGGTTAGTACATGACTATAGCTTCTAATCAAATGAATCGACCGGACTCTTCACGCAAGCGTCCGATCACAACCAAACCAAATATCCGATTAGTCATTTGACCCTACATTCACTTCTAATTCGAAATCCTTCGAGAATGAAGTTGACCTCAATAGATCTTAGGGCTATTCCTGAGCTACCTAGTGTCAGGTTTGACACGTGTGCACCACACTTAATCCATTAGACTCACCTAGGTCAAGCTACTAGTCCATACCCCCCTTAATAGTATGGCCAAAGGAA